ATTCCAGCCAATGTTTACTTCTCAACCAATACCATCAAGAACAGATTATCTCGTCGTTTTATCTGTTATTGCTGTTTGTGGAATCTTGTTGTGCACAATGTGTTTCATCAAAGTAAAACATTGATTACTAACAACTCTCTAATGTCCTGAGGTCAGAACTGGTGCTAGGGCCTACGCCCAAAACGTCAGCCTTCCTGCTCCTCTGATGCTGCTTGGCCTGCTGTGTTCATCCAGCTCTACACCTTGTTATCTCAGATTCTCCAGCATCAGCAGTTCCTACTATCTCTGCTACATAAATGCAAGTCCTTTTGGCTTCCTTTGTCGAGAAAAACAATCCAGTGGGCAGTAACAATCTCACCCATGACCTGCTTGAGGGCAGTTAAGAATGGACAACAAATGCTGGCCTTACCAGCAACATTCACACCACACGACTGAATTATAAACAACACCATCTTTTCTCCTCAGCCGAAACGAAAGGCAATATCTTTATTCTTAAACTCCCTCAAACAGACGCCATTAGCATGCTGAAGTTCACAATTATTTTGCGCAAATGAAGAAAGGAGCGGACTCGGGAGCCTGAATTAGTCAATAGCTCAGTTCAAATTTCAAGGCAGGCTTGTTGAAGAAACAAGTTGCATTGACATGGCACCTTTACTTTGAAAGATGTCCTCAGATGCCAACATCACAGAGACGGAAATAAGGATGATGGAACACCAGGCAGGAGAAGCACAGGGAAGCTAAAACGTGGTCAAACAAATGGATCTTCAAGGAGGAGAGAGATGTTTAGAGAAGGAAGTTCAAAGTGTAGGGCTTAGTTGCCAATAGCAGGGAATAAGGAACTCTCACACCCATTGCAGAGCTAGCCTAATGAAATTCATGGCTTAAAAATCCAAAGTTCTGTAAGCTGCGCACAACTTACTCTTTGCAAGATTTCTGCTACTGAAGATGTAGATGAAAATCTGCACCCCTTCCCCAGCCGCTCAGTGTGTCTGTGAAGGAAGGGGATCGGAAATGTGAAAACTCCCCTGTTCTGTGCCGATGTGACAGAATAGCAGTCAATCACTCCACACATATCACTGGGATTTGAGCAAGGCAATTTTCTCACTGGCGATGGGAGCAATTTGAGGTGTTGAATTAAGAGCATCACACCAGAAGTGCGCTCCATAGCAGTGAAATAAATTAACCAACATGTGATTTTTCCTATCGTTTATTGCTACCAACAGACTTAATATGCCCAGTACTATCGCAGAGAGTAAACATTTTTCTTTAAATACAGCACTAGATGCAGCAGGATGCAATTGTTACAAATGGAAGACAAACATGAAAGTAACATTTTGTGATGCATTATATTTTAGACACAACATGTGGTGAGTGGGATGGTGAGAAGGAACAGCTAACTTTGGAACAATGGCTCCAAATCGCTCCATCACTGGGGATTCCTTGCCTCAAGTCTGAATCTGTTATAGGCTATATAAGAAATTCTGTTTACATTGTATCCTGCAGCTACCAGCAGGCAAACGCGATGGACCCCAGGCTGGAAATCCCTATGCTGCTTGGTTTGAGTGTTTCCCTCAAGAAACCTTGAAGATACCAACACATTCAGGATGACTTACTGACTGACACATGGTGAAGTGCTGTTGCCCCATTAGAAGGCTATTCTACGCCTGGTGAGAGAGTGGAGGAGGAAGTGACAGTCAGGGGTCAAATCAGAATGGACGAATGTGGGAGCCATGGGTCAGCGAGTAGAACTTCAACACCATTGGCCAAGTAAGATCATCTGAATCCGACCTGGGATCTTTCTATCTGCCTAGCTCACTTCACCTGACAAAGGGGCTATGCTCCGAAAGCTTGTGTTATAAAATTAAACCTGTTGGACTATAACCTAGTGTCATGTGACTTCTGACCTTGTCCACCCCGATCCAACACCGGCACCTCCACATCATAGCCCAATACAGTGGTTGTTTTCCCAGAGACCACTAAAGTCCGACTGACAACAATTCTGATATAAGATTCTCAAGACCATGTCAGAAGTTCAATACTAGCTCAATGTTGTACACCATAGCTTCAATACACCATTTCAAAACCACGCAGGGGCTACTAACATGATGGGCCATTTACTGTGTCTCTGGGTAACAACCTTAAAAGGCAGTCAAGCTGACAGAGAGAAAAGAGTTACTTTCTCTCGCTTGATATAACCCAACGATGCCATGGCACGATCTACAATCATTCCCCCCAACAATTCAAGACACACCGTGATAATCTCACACATGCCAATACGAGGCATTATCTCCAGATCCCACTTTCACTTCAGCCAACACAGGCAATATGGAACACTGGAGGCATCTCAAAGCCCACAACCCACAGTTCCTTCCTCTGCCCTCATAATATGTCCCTCCGTGCTCAGGTAACCCCACCAAGCCAACACAATCCCTCTTTGCCCATACAAAGCCCACCCCTGGCCATGCAATACCGCTTCCCTACCCCATGCATGGAAACAGGTAAGTGAGGCTTGGGGGTGTGGTGGGGTGGTCATGGTTAGGACCAGGAGAGAGAGAGGAGAGGAGGGCAAAAGAAGGAAAACTATGCAAGCGTGTGCGGAAAAGGAGTTGGGAGGGGCGGATGGTGGATTGGAAAGCGAACACCAATCTGATGCCAAGGGCAATCAGGCCAGAAGGAGCAAACTGTGAGGGGAGGGGTTGGCTTGAAGGTTAACGGTGGGGAAGGGGCGTGTGAGATGAGAGAGGAGAAGATCAGCCAGAGAAGGGATGCTGGGCAGAGGGCAAATGTAGTGGGGACAGGAGACTAGGGAGTCAGGGAAGGAGAGGTAGGTAAAGGATCATGCACCTAAACAATCATTGATCATCAGGGAGTGTGATTAGGAAAATGGAAATATCATAAATTCCCAAGAATTCACAATGAGCCTACGAAAAACCAAACCAATTTCTGCCTATACAACAGTGCCTTGCATTTATATAGTGCCAAGGTGAACTAGACTGCAGAAAGCTAGGAATGGGAGATGAGCCTTTATTGCAATGGGTTATCATGAAAAAAGGTGTACAATAGGGGACCCACGATCAGAGAATAACGAGTGCATAAAAGTACAGGGGAGACAGTGATATAATCCCATTTACCCTCTCAGGAATTCTCAAAAGTGCCTATAGCCAATGAACTATTGTTCTGAAGACCTTCAACTGTTTGCGAAACGGGAAATGCCACAAATCCATTTGGGCACAGCAAGCTCCCAAATACAATGTCCAGAAAGCCCACGTTTTCAGTGACATTAATTGAGGAACAGGCATTGTCCAGGATACCAGAACAATTCCCTAGATCGTCGCTCATGCCTAAGGAACTTTTACAAGCAGTGGCGAGGCAAGCTGTTGCCAGCTGCTCAGTGGGTATGTACAAAGTGTGGGTGCACTTACAAGCCAGGAAGGTGTTAACGGCTCCGGTCAGCTCCGCCATTCGGCGGCCAGTATTGGGTTAACTGACGGACATTAACCTTTGGCAATCTTTGTTAAACAGTGCAGGGATAACCGCAGCAATTTACCGATCTGCGGGAGGAAACACGACAGGAGGTCACAGCCGCTCGCTGCATTATGGAAGCGGGGGCTGGGTAGGGAGCTCAGTTCTGCCAGAATTGCTCTAGTCCAGCAACGCCTGCACTCAGTGGGAGCTGCGATGCCCCCTGTAGCTGAACAGCATACCCAATGTCCCACCTCATTGGACAAGGCGACAAAATAGGCAGCAGCGAGAGCCAACAAATAAATTCCCCAGGCAAACACTGCGTGAAGGGTGCTATCTGTAGAACTACGGAGCAACAATAGCAAGAATTTGTTGGAAGGGAATGCACCAGTCTTCTTTTTATTTAACCTGGGGTGAATAAACCAACCTGCTGCATTTCTTCAAGTCTTCCCACTTCCCCTCAAAAACGAGCAATACATATGTATTGCATCCTCCTCCAGTGCCAACAGATAGTAGCCAGGGAACTACTCAACAGTTACATGCCCTTCAAACACACGGCAGTTATCTTTCCGCAGTCATTGTCCTTGAGTCTCATCAGCTTAGAAGGCCCGGGGCTGGGGTACAAGGGGGAACCGAGGCAGGTCTGCCACAACAGCAGCATTGACAAGAACAGCTCCCAGCAAAAACAGACTGACCCCTGCCATCGGCCACCACCAGCTCCTGCTGGAGGCCGCAGGGAAATCTCTTGCTCATTAATCGCCCCGCACACAACACGCAGCATGAGGGTGGCCACACTGTGCCAACTCTCAGCTGGCATATTCAACAAACCAGCAAAAGGAGCAAGGCATTCTCAAACAAAAGGCTCTGTGGCAAAGAATTCTCTCACACACAAACACACACACACACACACACGTACATATACATGCGAAGACAAGGGAATTCCTTGCTGCTAAAAATAAGGCCATTGTTTGACTTAGCAATTCCAAGTGCGAGATTTGGGGATTCACTGTACACTTCGGATATCGCCCTCAGGGTCCAGCTCACGCCCCTAAAAGCGCTCTGTTCCCACATTGGATAGAACAGACCCAGTCCATTTAGATTTTTCTCTCCCTAGGGATTGGGTAATGTTATTATACATTCCCAACAAAGAGCTCTGGCTCCTGCTCTCTTCCAATATCCTCTTTTTTTTCCCATCAGTCGACCCTCAGCGATTTCCCAATACCCTCATCCAAGAAATGCACGCCAAATACCCTTTCAAAAAAAAAACCGCATCGTTTTAAACATCACGGAGACTAAAACACACATTATAACCTCAAATAAGTCATGCATTGTCCTTACATATCTTCTCACCACAATACTGTTCTTGTCTCGTCAGCTAGGAAACAATCTCAATTTCCATCCTAGTTTCTATATTTCAGTCTCCTTTTTTTCCCCTCTAATCTCTCTGAAGGTCTTTCAGTTGAAGCTTTCAAAATGTATAAGTCCCCAAGACGAGAGAGTCCTTTACCAGCTCTCCCCCAACCCCTCTCCCCTCTTACCTGAAATCTCAGCTGAAGGCACCGCGGTCACCGAGAACCCTTTGGAGCTGTAGAGCGTTCTCATGTCCAAACAGGTCTTGGGTCTCTGATCTCCCAGAACAGGGGAGGGAAGGAGTCCCAGTAAAGCCAGGCACAGCGAAATCCACATCATCTTCACAAGGACGGTGCAACCAAATCAAGAACTGAGCGTGTGGGTTTTTTTGTGTGCACGGAAGAGAGAGACACACAAAAAAATCCAAAATCGAGCTTTCAAAAGAAACTGGGATCAACGTAATCCAAACAAAAGTTTCCCCAAGTCAATTGCAGGAGGAAAGGAATGCCAACTGATTCTTGCTTTTTTGTTCACTTCTCTCTCTCACTCCCCTCTGGCTTGTGACTTACAATCTTCAGCAAAGAAACGCGAGTTTCAATTTATCTTCTGTAGCTGCCGATGCAAACGGGTTCATTAATGTCTCAGTTAAAAAACACAGCCCACAGACCACACAAAGGAATACAATTAACAAATGCTACTTCTAAAATACATGAACACAATCCTGGGAGTCTTCTTCTTAATTCCAATTCTGTTTTTTCTCTCCCCCAGTGAGTTTGTTACCGGATGTAGTAGTCTCGGGATATACGATGAAGAGTTGGGAGATGGGGTGGGTGGGGGTGTGTGTGTGAGGAGTCTGTCCGACCTGGCACAGACAGAGACAGAGACAGAGTGACTGCCTCCTACCTCTGTCTCTCTCTGTGCAGACTATGCCTTGCTGAGTTTTCCAACTCCACCCCCAAAACCTCTAGCAGGATGTTACGACAGACGCGGTCTGGGACCAATGAAGACGGACCCAGGCTTTGTCAATCACCTCCCTTTTTTTCTTCATTGTCAGTGAGCCGTAGGAATGTCATCTTATCCTCCCATCAGAGTGCTAGTGAGCAAGTGTGCATTGCTGGCCCTGTGTATGTCTGCCTGTCTGAATGAATCTTCCATTCATTTAACCCTTTCAGCCACACACCTCCTCAAATTTACAACGGGAAATGGACTCAAGTGATCCTAATTCAAATGCACTGTGGTCCTGGTCTGTAAATGCATTGCAATTTTCAGGAGAAAGAACTCCTTATTCCCAGTGGTGGGTGGGGAAGTGGAAGAGCCACTAAAATAGCCTTTTGACTGAGTCTACTGCTTACTTCTTGCCAATTGTGGTACGGAGATAACCAGACGCCGGAAAAGACTTCAAGTCGGATTGATAGAGGGTTTAGTGGTATTGAGTTCCCAACCTTTACCCTATTGTCCCTGAGCTGGACCAGGGAATAATAGGGTCTGGTCTTTGCTGTGCCCTGCTTCCACGTTGCCACTCCTGTAGGTCAAAACAACACCTATCACCAAGTCCTCTGTCTGTGAAGGCAAAACAATCAAGTATAAGAGACAAGCCTGCCTTTAGGTGGGAGGATGAACAGGACGTTTTATCTAAAGAGGGAATATTTAGATCTGGGTTTGCCATTCTGAACAAAAGATCTGCTTTATGGATATGAATTTTAAAACACAGTTCAAATGGAAAGAATATTACAATCTCCACTCCTTAAAGAGGTTGAAAGTAATTAACCATTACAGTTACAGTAAAACTGTTGCATTGTAAACCATTGGGTTACTGCCTCTGATTAAAAAGTTGTCTGTTTCACTTTTCAGAAATTGCGATGCAAGTCATCCATCATGTTTGCCAGAAAGAACTCCAAATAGTGCTTCACAGTTAATGTTTTTAAGGATGGGAATCTTTAAGTATTGTGAAAAAGTGGATCTATTTCACCATCTGTGTATACCTGGACTGTGTTTTTCTTAAAAAGTTCACTTTAGGCATTGGAACATATTTTTAAAACCAAGCATTTCTTGGAAACTTCCTGGTTTCAACTAATTGCTGGACTGGTTTGGTGGAGGATACCTGCCTGGGTTTTTTTTAAATCACCAGTGAATTCGTTTCTGTTTTCACAGTGTTTTGGATTCGGTATTGGTCCTTTAGCTTGCTAAAGGAAAGAAGCTTCCCAGATGAGCTCTCCTGTTTCTGAAAAACAAAATTGTGCATCCATTGTGGTACTGGAACTCAAGATTCACCTGATCTCATGGGAACCATCTGAGGAGTTTGTCTTGATATTTCCTGAAACATTTGCAAACATCCCAGAGACAACTGTACATGAATAGACTCTTGTTGACATGCCAGAATGTCTGAATGAAGGTCATCTGAACTTTCCACATATCATCATTTTTACCTTCAAGAACTAACAGCTATTGGACAAAAGAAGTTTTCTTTTTCCCCCAAAGTGAATCTCTGCAGAGAAATCAATTTTCTTGTTTCCCTTTACCAGTTGTGTTTATGTATGTATGTGTTGGGTTATTTAGAAGGGTAAATGTTTATACTTCCATATCATGAATTGTGTGCGATCACCAACAATCCATCCTGATCCACCCACGTTGACACTATGGTCAAGAAAGCACAACAATGCCTTTAGTTCCTAGCTGTGTTTGAAGTGCAGGGATACAAAACATATCACTGAAAATGAACAGTCTAAAAGACAGTTATGAGACTAGCCTTGTAACAGAGTCATACAGCAGAGAAACAGGCCCTTCGGTCCAACTTGTGCATGCTGACCAAGTCTCCCAAACTAAACTAGCCCACTTGCATGCAGTCCATACCCATCCAAGCCTTTCCTGTTCATATACTTGTCCAAATGTATTTTTAATGTGACTGGGCATGCATCTACATTTTCACTTGATCTGAAAGTGAATTTGAATCAAGCATTGATTACTCATTGTATGATGAAGTACTTCCTCATAACATTTTAAATTTACTGAATATAGGTTTCAATTTGTCCTGTTCTTTAAATTTTAATTTATGTAACATTACAGATTAACATTTTCATTTCCTTGACTATTTTATACAAATGAACAAATTAGAAGCAGACAGGGCCTGCTCCATCATTCGTCAAGATCATAGCTGATCTGTTTGGAGAATGTTTGGATTGGGATTCAGAGTAATTTGCCCAAGAATTCTGTGTATCAGGGTTAACGTTACATCGAGAGCCAATTTTATCAATATACACTTCAAGAGATGGTTTTCTTCCCAGGCCCACATTTAGAAAAAGCATCAATCTGAAGATAAACATTCTGAAGATAAGCCGTCTGCAGAAAAGCCATCTTTCTCCAGCAGGTCTTACCTCTCCTAGAGTCTCATAAATCTCATAGGAACCTATAGAATTCCAACAGGACTAGACAGAGTAGATGCAGGATGTTTGCAACAACTGAGGAGTCCAGAACCGGGAGTCACATTTTAAGGCCATTTAGGATTAAGACAAGGAGAAATTTCTTCACCCAGAAAGTAGGGAGCCTGTGGAATTCTCTGGCACAGAAAACAGGTTAGGCCAAAACATTGAATGTTTTCAAGAAGAAGTCAGATATGGTTCTGAAGATAGAGGGATCAAAGGATACGGGGACGTGGATGAAATTTGGACAATATCTACAGGAGAGAAACCATGACTGAATACTCATGAGATGCAAGTACTGAGATGAATGTGAGAAGTGTGTTATTAAATTGGAGAGGGTGTAGAAAAGATCTACAAGGATGTTACTGGGGCTGGAGGGTTTGAATTATAAGAAGAGGCCGGACACTGGACTGGAGTGTCACTGGAGTGTAGGAGGTTGAGGGGGTGACCTTTTGAGGTTTATAAGATCGTGAGGGGCATAGATAAAGGTGAAGGGGCAACTTTTTCACACACAGGATGGTTTGTATGTGGAATGAACTGCCACAAGAAGTTAAAAATGCAGGTAGAGTTACAACATTTAAAAGACATTTGGAAAGGTACACCAATAGGAAAGAGTTAGAGTGATATGGCCAAATGCAGGCAAATGGGACTAGTGTAGTTTGGAAAACTTGGTCAGCATGGACAAGTGGACTGAAGGGTCTATTTCCATGCTGTGTGACTCTACAATTCTAAGTGACAAGAAAGGACAAGATCAAGAATCAGCACATTCGGGTCTCAGATTGTGAGAGCATCAAAGAAAACAGCTGAAAAGTGATTACAAGGGTATGACCATCTGTTGTGGAGAGAAAGAGGAAATGTGATGGAGTTGGGCCTCCCAGAAAGACCTGAAACCAGATGGAATTGCAATGGTAAGTGGCCCAAAGTAAAATGGGAAAAGTGATGCCTCTATGACTGAAGCCTATGTTGATGGCACTGAAGATGATACATTAGGAACAAGAGTACACCAATCAACAAGACCATGGCTGATCTGATTTCACACTTAGCTCCACTTTCCTGCATATCCTCAATACCCTTTGTCTGCTTTGTTAGTTAAAAGTTGATCTACTTCTGCCTAAATCCTCTGCATTTCAATCTTAATTGGAAGTCTGGATCCGTCAAACAGGGTTTAAAATCTTTGTAAAAGCAGAAACATCTTTTGGCATCCACCCCATCATAGAGTCAGAGGTCTACAGCACAGAAGAATGCTCTTTTCCCATCGAAAAAGAAACTGGTCACAAACAACTATCTAACTATTCTAATTCCATTTTCCAGTACATAGCCCATAACCTTGAAGCCTTCTATTTCATCTCAGGCCCTAATGTTTCAATAAGATAACCTCATATTCTTCTTGACTCCAGTGAATAGAGAACAAGTCTGCCTGATCATTCTTCATAAAACTATCACCCCCAAATCCCAGGTACCATTGTCAACCATTGCTGATATAGCTGATCTCACTGGGGAGAAAACACTTAAGGTTACCTTGGGGTAGGTCCTGATTTTAACAAATAAAATTGGATGACAGTAAGTCAGCAGCTGTTTGGTGTTGTGCTTTGCTGTGTATGCAGTTATTACAAGTAAATTGCATGTGACCACTTAATTCTTAGTTTCTTTGTCACGTTGAGTGGGTAATTCTACCATTACAATGGTTAATCCACCAGCAAACCAAAGGCCAGAAGTTGCACTAAGATGGTGAAAAGTCACAGAAACCCCTGATGGAAACAAAAATTAGTTTGCCGTGGACAAACAGCAGAACCCCCACATAATCCACCTTCTAAAAGTTACTAGAACAATATCATCGAAGGCAAAGTTATTAGACTCCCAGAAGAAGGAGTTCAATTTAATTCGAATCTGGTGAAAAGGCAGTGGTTCCTATCTCTGCGATGCTGGAGCCTGAGATAACAAGGTGTAGAGCTGGATGAACACAGCAGGCCAAGCAGCATCAGAGGAGCAGGAAAGCGGAGGTTCCTATCCCTGCAGCTGGTACCTGAGCTGTTGAGTGGGCTCCTGCCTTTGGCACAGTTAACTCTTTTTCTGTTGCATGTGTATATTGCATTTTTAACTCTTCAGTTACAAGTTGGACTGGTTTTCTGTTCACTACAACCCACTCCATTGACAATTTTCTGTCATCCAACACAGCTTCCCATTTGGAGGATACTTCATGAGACAACAGCATCCTTTAATAGCCCAGCCAAGTAGCAAACCTTCATGTCAAAAGAAATACATACTTTCACATAACATCTTCCACAATCAGGATAGCCCAAAATATTATCCAGAAAAAATAAGCACTTCTCAGTGTTGCTGCAATCACTGTTGCAATGTGACAGCCAATATATACACAGCTAGCTCTCACAAATAGCAAAGTGTTAAGATAATGGGTTTAAGAGTGATTTGACTAAGGTAAAATTACTGGGCAAGTTAATATTAAAAACTGCAGATGTTAGACATCCAAGACAAAAT